CACAAACACACACAAATAGGCATGCCCTTATTCTCCTCGGAAGGATTTCCATCTAATCAAATACTTTAAGAAAGCCGTTGTTCCTCGGAAATGCAGCGTAAGGCTCAGAGCTCGAACGACACGATGCTCACATGACAAACATAAGATTTGCACTAATGCCAAGACCTGGAGCCAAGCAGGGAGATTAGAATGGTTGGATTGTTCAAGCGATCGTGAGTCGCTCTAAGCTGTAGTTACTCAAACAAATGGGATTGTACTCCAGGCTGGGTGTGTGTGGAGCTGCCTGGTCTGGCTGCTCTCTTAAGCAAATGTTGCCGACACAGTTCTCAGATACTGACTTTTGTTTTGTTTTGTTTTTTTTCATTCTGCCTTGTTTCCTGCTCATTTGACATTTTCTGGTATTAGTGTGGGTTAACGAGTTTTTGATTAGCTGTAGCTGCTTGAAGTTCATTGTTTGTTAATTAGTGAATGCCCCAAGTCACTGATAGTAATGTTCAACTACTGTCTACTTCGATTCCAAATAGGAACTAAATTATCTTTTGAGTGCACACAAAAGATGTGTCTGAATATGCAATGGTAAAAAATTAAGAAAAATAGCAAAACGTAGTATGTCAGAGGGGTAAGGTATGCAAAACAGTAGGCAAACACACAGATGTCTTAGAAGACATTTTAATAACAATAATAATAATAATAAATAGTTTATTATTATTATTATTATCAACATTTCTAAATTATTATTAAAAAGTTCACAATAATAATAGTAATAATAATAATAATAATAATATTAACAACAACAATACTAATAATAATAATAATATTAAAAACACAAAACCAGCACTAACCAGCCTGGACCTAATCTAGTTTCAGCACTGAATTGCCTGCCATTTCAAATATTTGTGATATTTTGCTTCTTCAACACTCTTAACATTGGTTAACGTTCAGGTTCATGTTCATACTTCACAGTTAAAGGGAGATATAGGGTGGGTTGCACCAACAAGGATTAATTTAAGCAAAGTTTAGAGCAGGGGTGTCAAACTCATTTAAGGTTGCGGGCCGGATCGGAGAAAATGTCCCCTTGTGCGGGCCGAATTACCTTTTGTTAAACCCTAGTTTGCTCATATCCTTCTTTGCTGACTACCAAACTCTCTTTCTGACATAAGTTTCTTTTGTCGATGAAGGAAATAAATTATAATTATAAAATATCTGCCGTCTTAACTACGTAGAGACTGTTATTCAAATGGCTGATCAAGCAAGCAATTTAGGCAGTGCATACGGATTTCATAATCCTGGAAATATATTTATAGTATCAAATAATGGAGTATATCTTATAACATATTCGTGGACCTCGGAGCCCTGTCCGTTTGATCGCCGCCCAGCAGCGTGTGTGGAGCGGGTGTATGAAACGAGAGGCGCGGCCGCGATCACTGGCACTCACTTCATCATCACTGCTGCCGTTAAAGGGGTCATATGATGCGATTTAAATTTTTCCTTTCTCTTTGGAGAGATCAAAGAGATATTCTTTATAAAAGTTAAGAGTCAACCACACCTACCTAAAACGGCTCGTTCTAACACGCCCCCACATGTCTGCGTCACGATGTGGGAAAATCTGCATAACACCGCCCAAATGTTCACGCAAAGAAAGAAGGCGTAACTTTTATTCCCGCTGTGTGTGACGCTGTGTTTCGTTGTGACTACTACAACTACTTTGTTTGGCCTTCCAAAAGAGGACACAATTAGAAATCAGTGGTTAAGTTGTATTTACAACACTGTTCCAGAACAGTTCAACCCAAATATTCATTTGTGTGCAGCACATTTTATGGAGGACCGTTTCCTGATCCTGGGAGAGTAGGCTACAATGCCGGCTGTTCTGACTCACAGACTGTAAGTACGTTTTTTTTATATTTAAAGAATTTGCCACTGACGATTCAAACGTGAGTTTTTTGGGCAGTGTAGAGTAGTGCTTGTTGTTTGTCATTTCTCCGATCACAAATGCAGACATGGTTTTATGTTTACACGGCGCGATGCAATGCAACGCGTAAAAAGACAGTATAAGTCATTATAATCCGTAATTATGTCCCCACTGGATGCAACAAATGCCTCGTTTATAATGAGTTTTAATGTTTTTGTCCCGTCGCTCCGGCCGGGACAAGGCATCACAATATGGCAAGAGACGTAACATTTACGTCACACGCTGAGGTATTCGGCCAATCACATCGCACTGGATATCTGGTCAATCAGAGCACACCTCACTTTTCAGACCGATGAGCTTTGTAAAAATCGGCGCGTTTCAGAAAGGCGGGGCATAGAGGAGAAACAATAATGTACAGTATGTGGAAAATAATGTTTTTTGAACCTTAAACCGCATAAGAACACATTTCATTACACCAAATAATGTTCTTTTTAGCAACATCATATCACCCCTTTAACAGTGTTTGTCTGACTTTTAAAACATTAGGGGCCAGACTTACTAACAGCTTGCGCCAACGCAAACCGTCTTTTGGCATTAAAATAGTACTGTCAGGATTTACTAAAGATGTGCAGT